GACAGCAGCGGTGTCTGCCTCCACAGGCTCCTGCAAGGTGGCGCGGACGGCTGTGAGCCCGGCCGCCCTCTCCTGCCTGCTGGCCAGCGCCCAGCAGTTCCGAGAGCAGACCCAGGCCGAGGCGTCCAGTGAGGACGTGGCCCTGAGCTCAGGCTTGGTGAGGCCCTGAGCCTGGTGCCGGGGCTGTGGGATGGGGCGGGGTGGGGAGAGCTAGGTGAGGCCCACCGCCCCGGGTGGCCTTCTGGCCCCCAGGCGTGCTGGGCACCCAGGCCGCGCTCTCAGCACGGGGCTCGGGGCCAGCTCTTCCTGGAATCCTCGAGCCGGGTCTGGTGCAGAGCCTCTGTGATGCCAGCAGAGGGGTGCAGTGGGGTGGGGGTGTGGGGCCTCTCAGGGCCGTGGGCAGGTGAAAGGGAGGAGCACGATCCACAGGGGCCTCGGGAGCCCCATGCTGCCAAGCGGGGCCTTCCCTGGGGGCCAGGCCTGCAGGGCCTTGTCCGTTCCCCCCGCCGCCTGAGGATTCTCCGTGGGCCCCAGACACCTTCTGATCGGGGTTGTCATTTTGGCCGAGAAGGACCCAGAAAGCGTGCACCTTGAGAAGGAAGGACGCTCACTGCAGCGATTCGCCGAGGTCATGAAGGCCATGGAGGAGTACCTGAAGCCGCTGCTCCCACTGCTCAGCTGCCCCCCAGAAGCCCGGTACCTGCCGAGGGGCTGGTTCCTGAAGTGATTAGGGAGGGGGAGCCCCCTGCACTGGGGGTGCAGTGAGGGCGGGTGCTAACCATTGCCCAAGTCTCGGGGTGGGGGTGCCGCCTCAGAGCAGACAGGGGGGCTACGTCGCCTCGCTGGCCAGCAGGTGCCACAGGTGTGGGGAGTGGCAGGCGTTGTGGTGCGCAGGGATGGGGGCGGGCGGGGGGCTCGGCCTGAAAGCCGACTCTGACCCCCGGAGGCCCGGGCCAGCCGAGTGACCGGCTGTGAGCGTGTGAAGGTCAGAGCTGTTTCCTCCGATGCTGCTCTTGCCCGGAAACCTGCATCTCAGATGCCGGCGCCGTGTGCTGAATGAGCTCCTGTCTGGGCTGAACCGCACGGTTCACGGGACGGGAGACGTGCACAGGCTCTTGGGGAACAGAAGCCCGGGCTCCGTCCCGTCTGCCTCTGCTGAAAACCTCTCCTGGAGGCGTCCCCACCGGCCTCTGAGCCGCTGGTCCGGGTGTGGGTGGGAGAGAACAGGGCCGAGGGGCTTCGATCCGGCCCCTCTGACCTGTTTCCGACAGGAAAGGAGGCGGAGCGGACAGACACGCGCAGTTCCCAGGTTTCCCCGTGGGTCAGAGCAGCCTGACTCAGTGCGTCCGCGTCCGTGCCGGGCCTCTGGCCCCGTCCCGGCAAGACAGCCCCCAGCTGTGAGCCGTGGATTTTGGCGCCTTTGCCTTTCAGAGCACACATCCCCGCAGCTGTGGCAGATCCGGGAAAACCCAAGGGCAAAGACAAGGAGAGGAAGGCGTCCCTGCCCCAGGGTGAGTGGGGCCCAGGCCCGCTGACCACAGAGCCATCTGCCCCGCACTTGTGGCTGGGCCTCCCCCCGGCGTAGGGACCGTGGCCACTGACCAGCGCCCTGGGTGTGCTGCAAGCCACTCCAATTCAGATGCCCTGCCCTTCCGGGCACCCGGGCGGCCCCTCGTGGACAGAAACCATGGTGACATGGCCATCACCACCCTGAGCACACATCAGATGACAGGAGGGCCAAGGGGCCTCCCAGATTAGCACTTTGTTGACTCCCAAATAAAAGATGAAATGCTCCTGTTCTGGCCGTCCTGGGCAGAAGCACCCCCTACAGGGCTGAGCTGCCGCCGTCTCCAAGGTGCCAGCAAAGCTCAGAGCTGGCGCGTGGATCCCAGCAGAGCGTGGGTCCCGGTGGAGCGCGTGGATCCCGGGGGAGCGTGGGTCCCGGCGGAGCGTGGCACGCGGGTCCTAGCGACCTCTGGGTCCCTCAGAGCTGAGCTTGTGCAGCTGTCACGAACCTGACAACCTGGGGCCACTTTTGTGACCTGAGATTATGCCCCCAAAACTCCCCAGATGAAGACCCATGCTGGGTTTTAGGTAACTTGTGTTTACTTTGTAAACACAGTCAGTTCCATTGAAGTGTCTCGGGTTTCACCCATCACCGGAGCAGGGCTTCTCTGTGGTCATGGGAGAAGCTGCCACTGCCCTTCCTCTGCAGGAGCTGCCCTGTCAGAGGCCACGGCCCCTCTGGACCCTCAGGGAGGGGATCTGGCACAGATCTTTGTCCTTTGAAAGGGCTCCCTGGTCAGGAGGCGCGATGGCACCTCCAGGACCTGCCTCAGGAAGCACCCAGGACCCGACGTCCTTGTGACCGGGCTCTGTCCAGGTCCATGCTGTGACCTGGCCACACCACCAGATCAAGCACCTGCCCGCCAGGGGGCTTGGCCATGTCTGGGAGCCATGCCGAGTCCAGACTCCGTCAGCCAGACGGCCTCGGCAGTGCCGGGCAGACCCTGGGCCGTCGGCCCGTCCCCGTGCCGGTGACCTCAGCCACGTGCTCCGCCCACAGCGCAGCCCGAGGTCGCGGACAGCATCGTGCTGGCCGTGGACCGGCCCCTCCTGGAGCTGCCACTTGAAGGGCTCCCCGTGTTCGGTGAAGGGACGATCTCCTCCGTGTCTCGAGAATTTTCTCTCCAGATGCTGTGGACGCGGCTCCGCACAGAGACAGGTGAGCGCCACACTGACGCTTGGATCTTACGTGGGAATATTTAAATGACATTCACCATAAAAGAATGTAAGTCTTGTCAAAAAACAGTTACCAGATTCGCCACGTCTTTCGAGGCGCTGGTCATTCAGAGACATCTCGGGAGCACCTGCCATGTGCCGCGTGTCCCGTGGGTGCCGAGCACACCCTGGAAAGAAGCTTAACGTCCTCTCGGCCTCACAAACTCCTGTTTCAAAGGAGGGGTGACAGTAAACTGGCAGCTGCCCAGTGAGTCGGCCGTTACGCGGTGAGGGCCTGACTCAGCCTGGGGGCACTGGGGACTCGGGGTCATGTCCTGTGACACAGATGTGCCCGGAGTGTGAAAACGCTCTGCCCTCGACCTACCTGCAGTTTCCTTCATGCTTGTGGCCCTAGTAAGTATCAACTTAAATAAAAGACAAATGGATCAGACAGTTTTCATCCAAGCTGAGCTGACAGGGACCAAGGCTGCCCTTCCAGCTGGAACAGCCACAATCCAGACAAAACACAGGGAGCAACAGCCTTCACGTCCCAGAGCCCAGGCGCTGGGGGCAGCGGCCCCGAGAGGGCAGAAAGCCGTGGGCCCCCGCTCTCCGCCTGGAAGGAGTCTGCAGGCCACAGCGTGTGCTGGGAGGGGACCAGGCAGAGCCCGGGGGTCTCCCCAAGGGGAGGAGGTGGGGGTCTGGGGGCCCAGGTGACTGGGGTTTGCAGGGCAGGTCCTGGGCGGGGAGGCTGCAGATGGTCCCCTCAGGTCTTCAGTGGACAGCCGGTCAGCGCGGGTGTGTGCAGAGACCACTCCCGGGTGCTGGTCCAGGGACCAGAGGGTGTCTCCTCTGCACCAGGGAGACTGGCTTTAGTCCCAGTGAACAGAACTTAAAAATAAGCCCCAAGGCATCAAATTATTTCCAGGCAACTGGACTGCATCTCGAAACAAAGCTCGGGGTACAGAAGTAACACAACGTCCAGGACCCAACACGGTGAACTCAAAACGTCTGACATCCAATCGAAAATCACTGGCGTGCGAGGGCCCAGGGGCGACACAGGGGACAGTCAACGGCACTGAGACCGCCCCCGTGACCGTGTCCCACGGCTCCAGGAGGTGGAGGGGAGAGGGGACAGAGACGTAGGAGGCACAAAACGGGCCCAGCTGGACCTCTGCTCGTGAGAGATGTGCCCTGGCAGCGTTAACCACAGCTCAGCACCGCAGGAGAGGGCGCCGGGGGGCTTGGAGAAGTAACAGCAGGAGAAACTGGAGGCAAGGACGGAGCCCCAGGGAGCGCTGACTCGGCAAAGCAGCGTAACACGCCTGAGACTGGCGTCTTCGCCGGCGCGGCGTGTGCCTGAGTTCACACTGGCCAGGTTTCTCCCCAGCTTTGATGGACACGCTAACCCTACAGATCGAGTTCGGTGAACCCCAAACGCAAGAAACAGAACTACTCCAGGGACCACTGCAGTCGGATGGATTAAAACGAGGGATTATTTTTAAAGCAGCCGGAGAGAAAAGGCGCAGTTTGTGCCCAGAAACAAGCACGAGGCTGACCGCAGACCTCTCGGCCGACGCGGCGCGGGCAGACGGCGAGCACCACCTTCGAAGCATCGGAGAAAATGTCTGCCGATGTGGAAATTCTGAAAGTGACTTTCAAAAGCAGCACTGAAATACTTTTTCAGAAGCAGAAAAGCTGAAGCATTCGCGCCCAGAAATGCTGCGGGACGTTCTCCAGGCAGAAAGCAGAGGAGAAGAGAGAAGCACCACCAGAAACTGGAAGTCTGGGTCAATACGACGCTTTCTTCTTAATCTGAGACCTCTTCAGGAGCTTCTGACAGCTCGGAGCTGAACCAGGCCAGTGGGGTGCTGCGGGGCCTCACAAGGCGTGAACGGAAGCCACAGGGCAGCGAAGGCCGAGGGACGAGGGAGCCGCCAGCCCCACGCGCAGGGCGGCCTGGTGCCAGAGCGCAGGCCTAATGGACTAGCGATGTGGCCGGCGCAGCCCCTGGAAAGCGAGACGGGCGCGGCCGCCGATGCCCCCACGGAGACCGTGAAGTGGACTCGAGAGCAGCACTCGGCTGATCACAAAAGGCAGGAGAGGAGGGGCCGCGGAACAGAGAACGGTGGGACAAGCAGAGACGAGCAGCCGGGAGGGCTGTCTCACCCACCCCACCGACAGCCACATCTCTGCCAGGGGTCAGAAGGCCCGGTTAGAAGGCAGAAGGCACCTTCGTGCGCGCAAGCGCAGGCTCCGAGACGCGCTTCCCCAGGAAACCCCGCTGCGGTGGAAGGAGCCGTCGGGGACGGGCAGGAAGGGGCAGGAAGGGGCCGGGCCCACCCCGGTTCGGCCGGGCGGGCGGGGGCCGCGGGCACCCTGCCCCGTGAGGCAGAGCCCCTTCCGCGTTTTGCGGCCCCTCTGATGTCCTCGTCTGCTCCAGTCTTCTGCCAGTTTTTCTGTCGGGTTCTCTGGGCTTTGTCCTTCAGGTTCGCAGGGTCTCCATACGTACTTGGGAATAACTTCCGATCGTTAGCACGAGCTGCGGCCGTGCCCTCCACGCGGCAGCTTGTCTTTCCAGCCTCCTAAGCGCTGCCTCTGGATGAGCCGAGTATCCTGACACAGTCCTGTGTGTCCTCCTCCTCCTGGCGCTTTGGGGGCCTTAAAAACTTCTTTGTCTTATCTGAAGATGATGAAGATATTGTGTGATATCTTCTAAACATCTTTTTTTGCCTTTCATGTTTTTATCTACCTTCCCTCTGAAATTGATTTTTGCGAACAGCCTGAGGTGAGGTCTAAGTCCCTTTTTCCCGCTGAGCGCGCAGCCGTCCACACACCGTGACCAGGAGGGCCTTCCTTGCTCTGCTGCTCTGTGTCGCCAGCATTGTCTGGAAGGGCGCAGCATCATCCCATGCGGTCAGCAGAGTAACGGCCCCAAAGACGCCCGCGGCCTGGTCCCCAGACCCTGAGAGTGTGTGACCTGACGGGACAAAAGGGGCAGCTCGGTGAGGGGTCCTGGATGGGGAGCTGGTCCTGGACTGTCTGGGTGACCCAGTGTCCTCTCAAGGTCCTGGGAGGGGAGGAAGAGGACCCTCGAGAGACTGAAGGTGCTGACGGGGGGCGGGCTGTCCTCCAGCCTCTGGGAGCGACCGGCGCCGCCCACGCCTCCAGTTTTAGAACACACTTCTGAATCTCCCATGGGACACAGAAGAAATGACCTCAGGAGGGCCGAAGGCTGACCGTCACTACAGCAGCATCGAGAAGGACCTTTTAGCTTTAAATGTTCACATGGGGAGAAAGGTCAGAGGCTTTATGCTAAGGCCTAATTCAAGAAGTCAGAGCAAGAGCAGGGAAAATACCTCAAGGAAGGCAGAGAAAAGGCTCCCAAACACACACGAGCAGGCAGCACGATGCAGACAGCCCTGGGCGCTCCGCAGGGAGGACGTGGCGCGGGCAGAGCGCGCGCAGAGCGTGCACGGGGCCCTGGGTTCAGCCCGGCACCTCCCTTAAAAGACAAGTAGAAATAAATAAACCTAAGTACCCCCTCCCCCTCCCACCAAAAACAAAAACAAAATTGGTTGTTCGGGAGAAAAAACCTCAAAAAAGCCTCACACATCCCTGTGAGGAGGATCGAGAAAGAAGCAGAGAAGGCACAGATGAGCAGGATGAGAGAGAAAACAGACACAGACTGGAGGCGCATCAGCGACTTTCAGGCAATAGGAGAATATTATGAACAACCTCGTGGCCATATACTCAGAAGTTCAGGCGGAGAGGATGAAGTCCCGGGAGCAGAGCTCAGGGACCCACGAAGGAAGGCGAAGCAGCAGCCGCTCCGCCAGGAAGAGCGGGGGGTCCGCGTCCCCACAGACAGCGTTTCAGTTTCACTGTGTCTTTTGTTGCACTTTTTAAGAAACCGTTTGCATCGGTCTGTACAAATCTCCCCAAGTAGAAAAAATGAAAGAAAAAGCCGCCTCCCCGGTCCTCCCACTGGCCGGTCCAGGCCCCGCCCCCTGACCGCTCAGGAACGGCAGGTGAGAAGAGAAAGAAGAAAGAGAAACGGAACATTTCCTCGGCCCGTCCGACCGAAACCCTACAGATGTCACAGGTGAACAGATCGAAGGAAAGACAAGCTTAGGCGCACCTCAGATGGTGTGGGGGAGAAGCATTTGCTAAAATGCACGGATTCGTAATGGAAATGCTTAGCAAACTAGGAACACAAGAAGGTACCTCATCCTGACGGAGGAACCACCCAAATCTCAGTCAGGCTGCCTCCTCCCAGGGCCCCCGGAAGCATCTCTGTAAAGGTGGGGCTCAGCAAGAGCCCCACTCAGCTCCCATTCCATTTCCTGCTGAAGGCCCCAACAGAAATGAAGGGAACTCATTATTTTCACTTACCTCCACCGGAACAGTGAGGTGTAGCAAGGGGGCAGCTTGTATGTGCAGGAGGCAAAGGAGCCAGCAGCCCAGCCCCCTGTGCCTGGGCTGCTGCAGCAGACACACTGCGGAGTGCCCAGCATGGTGTGTGAATGGTCAGTTGAGTGGGCCTGGGAACCTCTGGCAACCGCTCCTTTCTTGAGGTCTCCTGGCCTGGGCCTTCCCAGCCCTGTAAGCCTTTATATTTGAGAGATTATTGCCATTTCAACTTTACAAAAATTAAAATCAACTGTTCACAATACTTCTTGTTTTTTTAATGGAGATGAAATTCACATAATGTAAAATTGACCATCCTAAAGTGAAGAATTCAGTGGCATTTGGAGCATTCACATGTGTACCACCACCTCTGTCTGGTTCCAAGACATCACCACTTCTCATTACTGTCTTAACAGAGGGGAACACGAAGAAAGAGGCCAGAGGCAAAGACCACAAGAAGAGAGGCCCGGCAAAGAAGGGCCCGAAGGTAGGTGGTGGCGGCCCCGCGGGGATCCTGGGGCCCCGCTGCCAGCTCTGGGCCCGAGGCTGTCCTGGGACGCGTCCCTGAGGACCCCATCTGTCCTCGCAGGGCAGCGTGCCCCGGATCATCCCCGCAGACTGCATCACCATCGACTCGGACAACTTCAGATGTATCCTTTGACGGCTTGGCCGCCCAAACCCCTGAGCCCGTGGCCCTGTGTCTCCTTAACCAAGGCCCAGTCATGGTGGACCCCTACGAGGAGGCCCAGGGCACAGGTGAGAGCTCCCGCAACATGCCACACGCCACCCACGGCCTGGACTGGCCTGGCCCGGGCCTGGGCAGCATGGACCGGGTGCCTGGGCCTCTGTCCCACGGAGGTCACCTCCTGCTACGCTGACCGTGGGGGGCGGACCCTCGTGTGCCCGACACCCGGCCCTCGCCGTCTGCAGCCGGGACAGGACATGAGTGAGATGAACCCCTGAGGACGGGCACCGGGGGCGCCACTGCGGCTCGAGAACAGCGTCCTTTGGCTCTTCTCTTGGGAGTTGGGCTGTAAAGCCCTCCACAAGGAGGGGAGGGGCCCTGCCTGTGAGGGGCCACGGCCCGGGGCACCCTGCCCCGCCGAGGACGCACACCCCTCAGTGCTCCCGTATCTCATGATCCAGTTCTGGTTGCAGAAGTGCTGACTCCTGTCTCCGTAACCCGGGAAATTTTGGAAAGATTCCGTGATACCTTCACTGCGAGATGGGCGGGCCATCTGGGAAAGAAGAACTTCCCAAGGTCCGCATCTGGGTTCCCAGGGCGCCGGCCTGCAGAGTGGGGCTGTGCCGCACCGGCCGGAGGGGGCTCCGCACACGGGCCCCTCCCCCTCCCCCCAAGGCTCCCTTCTGCCCTGATCCCCTCATTCTGTCCTGTCAACGCCCTCCAGTGCCTCGGTCCTCGCAGGGCCTAGCTGAGGACCTGGGCCCCCAGGGGTGTGTGTGACCCTGCACGAGGGCCCGCGGCCAGTACAGCACAGTGTGTGTGTGTGTGTGTGTGTCCTGACTCCCGAGGGGGGGCCCTCCCGGGAGGGGGTGGGGCTCCGGGGGCTGAGCTCCGGGAGGAGTGGGGCCGAGCCTGCAGGGGGTCAGGGTGGTGAGCTCCCCCCCACCCGGCAGGGACGCAGCCCCAGTGGGTGCCCTGGGCGCCTGGGCTCCAGGGCCGGCGGGCAGGCCCTTCTAGCCCCTCTCAGGTTCGCTGCCCGGGAGGCGGGGCTCATTCCCGAGCCCCGAGGTCCATTCTCAGGAGAGTCCCCCGAACCAGCCGCCCGGGGACCCCGCAGGCACTGGGAGGGTTAACGTGGCTCTGTGTCCGCGAAGAGTGCAGAGGAGGCTGCACCGCGGGTGCTGTCTGCTTGGCCAGCATGTCGGGCGGCTGTGGGGCCTGTTCCTGCCGCCTCCTGCCCACTGGGTCCTCTCTCCGGCCCCCGCAGCCAGGCCGAGTGGGAGCAGCTCCTGGGCAGCTGCCAAGGCTTCTTCTTCTACGGGATGGAGAGCTTCCTGTCCCACGTGATGGTGGAGAGGTTGGCCGCCATGAATCTGCAAGGTGAGCCCGGGAGCCTGAGTCTGCCAGACCCACAGGCACAGGTGGGGTCCACACAGGACAGAGCAGGGCCCCTGTGTCTCCTCTCGTGTCTCATCAGGTGTCTCCCCGTCCTCTGACAAAGGCTGGGGGGCACTTTAGGAAGGCACAGGGGGCCTCTGCTCAGGACCCCTCCTCCATTTCTCTGAGAGACAGGGCCAGGGTCCGGAGCTGGGGGTCAGCCCTCCAGGGGTTGGGAAAGCTGGCCCAGCCCCCCGTCGCCTGTCCTTCTAGGTGGAATACGGGCCCCCAGTGCCGTCGTCCCGTCTGCTGGTGGCGGTGCCCCCAGCGCCCCCCACCCCCACCC